CACTTATATAGGAATATGCATAGACAGTGTTCAAGGCCACGTTGGACAGAGCCTTGGGTGACATGGTCTAGTGTGAGGTGTCCCTGTCCATGGCAAGGGGGGTGGAACTGGATGATCTTAAGGTCCTTTCCAACCCAAACTGTTCTATGATTCTATACACCGGCTTGAAGATGAGGAAGGAATGATACCACCCAGCTATGGGATATTTAGTTTATCTTCTTGTTTGGTTTTGGAGAGAGTCTTACTGGGATTTGACCAAAAATCATAGATGATATTTGTGAAAAGACTCCAAAATCTTTCCAGGTCTCTTCCAAAATGAAGTCTGGCCTGTTAGGCAGTGCCTGTGCTTACACACAGTGGTACTGATTTAGCTGTGACTCCAGGAGAAGAGTGCTGCTGGGGCTCAAAGAGTGAAGCTGCCATGGGTTTACAGAGGGAAAAGCCCTCAAGTCATTTATCTCTGAAGATGAAGTACCTTGTATTCACTGTACACAAGGGAATATCAAGTGTATTGTTCTATTACTATGGTCTTAACCCATTTAATGTCTGACTAAGTAAGAATAAGAGAGAAAATAAAGCTTTTAGAAATTAAAGAGTATTAGATGAAACCTTAGTTTTAACATTTTTCCTCTTTTCGTTTACCTGCTTTAATCTTAAAGGGTCTCTGCCTTAAAATAAATGGGATGTTTTTATGGGAAGATCACAGAATTATTGAGCTTATCAAAGAAATCACCTGCTCCAACCTTCTGATCAAAACAGGGCCAGGTAGAGCAGTTTGCTGAGCTGAGTTTTGAGTATCTCCACGAAGGGAGACACACAACCTCTCTTGGCAACCTGTTCCACTGTATGACCATCCCCACAATAAAGCAAGCAAACAGCAAACAACAAACAAGCCCAAACCAAACTAACCCTATTTTCCTATATTTCCCTTTCTGCCAGTTGTGTATTGCCCTAACCACCGAGAAGTATCTGACTGTGTCTTCTTTACCTCCTCACATCAAGTATTTATACATACAGATAAGGTCCCCCTGAGCCTTCTCTTCTGCAGGCTGAACAGCCCCAGCTCTCTCAGCTTGTTCTTTCATGTCAGAAGCTCCCATCATTATTCTTCTCCAGCATTACCATGTTTAGATAGTCGTGAGTTGCTACCACAGAATCCTGACCCCACCTGCTTGAACACAAGCCTAAGAGTCTGCTTGAAGACAAGCCTAAGGGCCACTCAGGAAGGAATAGAGGATAGAAAGGAAAGGGAATGCAGCTTCAGTCTTTAAGTCTTTCTTCTTGGTACCTTCATAGTTGCAAGCTCAACAGATGGTCTTTGCAAACATTAAGAAAGCACACTGTATACCAGAAAAGGGAAGGCACCTTAAATCATAGAATCATAGAATCATAGAATATCTCAAGCTGGAAGGGATCATCGAGTCTGATGGGTAGCTCAAACTTGTAGAGGTTGTGTTCAGCATGGAAAAGATGGAAAAGGGGAGACTGAAGAAGCAAGGCAGTGTCTCCAGTAACAGACTGCTGTAGTCATTGGGGTTCAGGTGAGGACCAGACACTGAAAGCAGCAGCAAAATACTGCTGGTGGTCAGTATGACAGTAAGATAAGTTAAAAAGTGTGTGAAGAAACAGGGCTTACACATTAAGGACTTCCCCATGAGTAATGACAGCAGACATGAGATTGCTACGCCATAAACTGCATAACAGCTTTACAACACAAAAGCTTGTTTCCCCTGGATGTCTGCTTTTCCCACAAAGCCAGACATGCTTTTACCTCTTGACCTGGCTGACTTTCCTTCAGCACTGAGAAAAAACAGCCCACACTCAATAAAGATCCAGGATCCCTTCTGGAAAGCATAGAGATGACTTTGCAAAGCGGTGCGGTGGAATCCTATACTACTGAAATACATGCACCATCACCAGGACTGTGAGATTAAATGCTTTCATGGCATTCAGTTGCCTGAATGCTTTATTTTTCCCCATTTTTCTCTTTTCTTATTAATAAATAACCGTATTTGCCCTGACCTCCCAAATGATCTCCAGGTAGCACATCACTGGCCTACATGTTTTTTCTCATTACCAACTCAACACAAGACTGATGTCTGGGGTCCCTGCCAAACTTTCCTCTCTTCTAGTTGAGAAAAAAAAAAAAGGATCTGCTATTTAGGTATGGAGGATTCATTTTTCATTTTGGCATTTCTATGACTTTTTTTCCCCCACATGTTCAACATTTCCAAACGAATTTGAACTAATCTGATGTATAATATATGAAGGAAAGTGGGTGAGGCACAACGGCTCTTGCTGGGAATTGAAGTCCTTGTGCTAGAGGGTTTTTGTGCACAGTCTGTTGTTGAAGAGTCCTGCTTTTGGTGACTGCAGTTGCCATGAATTTGGGAAAAGCTCTGTGTCTGATATAGCTGAAAACAGGCTCTTGGAGGAAACCTAATTCTCCAGGCATCAGTGGATTTTAACACCAAAACACTCTTCGTAACTTTTCTCTGTACAATGATTTTGGAGTTATTACTTTAGAGAAATACTGGGGGAAAACCTTTGTTTTGTGTCCATTTCCTTGAGGACAAATGAAGGGGAAAACAAGGGCAAGTTTCTGATCACCTCTTTTCTGACCATCTCTCTCCTTGTAGAACCATCACCTGGTCTCTAATAGTCACAAATAGCTTTGAAGAAGTGATCTGGCAGAAAAGCATCCTGCATCACTCCTATGGTTTTAATTAGCAAACAGAGATAAGATACTCTGAGATCATTTATTCCTGTTTTTCAGCTGAATAAAAACACTGACTGACGCAACAATACTTGTCTTTTTTTGGATCCCTGGTTCAAAATGATAGTAAACTACGTCAAAGCACAATGTGAGGGTGCGAGATATCCATGACTGCAATTAGACATGGCAGCCACATTAATTAGTCATCTCAGCAGAGATGGTGGTGATTATAAATGTAAAGTGCCTGGGTCACAAGTGTAACAATGCCAGAAAATAAGCCAAAGAGACTTGTGGGAAAGAGATAATATTTTAACTATCTCTATTTTGGAAACGTTCATCAATTGTGAAATGCCATAGGAGTTAAGAAAACATTTTATCTGCTAAAACTGATGGAGTGCTGTTTCTCTGTAGAGAGGAAATTCTTGCCTGTTGCTATTTTTTGTTTCTTCAGAAAAATTCTCTCTCCAGAGACTATACCAGGATTCAAGCCCTCTTGAACCACTGCTACCAGCCATAAGCTTGAATATCTTGTTTTGTTTGTTAAGGAATAAACTTGTTATTTTGTCCCAGTTAGTTAAATTAACTTTGCTTTCTACACTGATCCCCTAAGCCCAGCAGAAAATAAAATATCAGCATTCATTTATAAGAGAAAAAGCATCAGAACTGGAAGCTCGATTTTACTGGGGTTTTTAGAAAGAGTTTTTCTTGCTTTTGCAATAATAAAAGGAAGCCAACTGACTTACCTGCACCCTGCCTTTTGGTTCAATAACATTTGCCTTCATCAGGGCTCCAGGATGAGCAACGCAACCTCCCGTAGTTTGGCTCCTTTTCCTATATGCATTCATCACCCCTTGGCAGCCTGAAAGTTGTGAATATTTAAGCCATGATTTCGGAAAATAGGAATGATTTGGCTTAATTTTCTGGGCACACACTAAAATCATGGCTTTTGAGAGCTTATGGAAGGCAGGAGGAGTAACAGGGGTTGGCAACTTTGTGCTCCTCTGCCTTTCAACCACTGCTTTTCTCCAGCATAGGAAAACAAAGGTGCATATCCCTACACACCACCTGTGACATTGCCACAGCTCTGCTGCCTCTTTTGCTGTGGAAAACAGGGTATCTACTACCACTGAGAGAGGACAGTTCCCCTGAATAGATCTCAGTTGTTGTGGTGGGACAGCAGGCCCAGCTCTCCAGAGCTTTCCATCACAAATCTCCATCCCATTGTGCAATGCTCTTATTCCTTCTCTTTTCCCATAGTAGGAACAGCTCGGCTCCAGCCCCTGATCTGTTCTGACTTTTGCTAAGAAGCCTTTAATGCTATAAATGGCATAGAAATGAGTCTACAACACTGAGAAAACTAATAAACCACTGCCCTTATGGAAGACTACAGAGGGGATGTATTTATCGGTTCTGCCACATTTGCGAACACTGGAAAGGAAGGGGTCTGGCTGTCAAGGCACCTGCTAGGACTCAGTAAGTCAAGTAATTGCAGCTAAAGGGCCTTCCCTGAGCTGGATGCAGGTCTGCAGCCTGCCAAAGGGAAGGTGGATCTATGCAAGGCTGCCTCAACATGTGCAAACCCCATTTCCAGGAGCCAGCCTCTGCACACTCATCTCCATCATCTCTCTTGAGCTTTAAACCTGAGATTTATGTGGCAGAACAGCAAAATAGTTAAGAATTGGCCATTTCAGTTTGCAATTTTTGCTGCTGGGGGAGCAAGAGGGTAGAGGGCACTCAGCTGGTGGTGATGTTGGTATTTTGGTCAAGATATGTTCTAAATATGTATGCAGAAAACAACTATAAAGTAGCTGATGCCTACCTCTTCCTCCTTGCAGAGATGTTGGAATGGTATTTCTCCCAAAGTGGAGTGAAAGCTCCAGAGGGATGAATGTCACTAAATACAATCACTGAGTTTCTCCTATTCTCCATCCCTGAACATTTCACTTGTTCATCTAAAGGCTTTTTGGAGCAACAGGGGCTGATTTATCCTTGTCACAGAGTGAACTGGCTTTTAATAAAGATTTATGTTACCTTCTCTTTTCAGAACACTCACTTCACCTTTCCAGATCAAGTCCTTATGTCACACAGAGAACATCTTTTGTTCTTTGCGTGACATAGCTCCCATCAGGGAAAGCTATCAATGCCCACTGGGGCCACAGCAGCTTTAGATTAGCTGATTTCAATAGGAACAAAGAATTCACATTTCCTAGAGCAAGGGAACCAAAATAGTACAACTACTTGTAGAAGTTGTAGAAATTGCTTACTAAAGAGACATACCTGTGTGTGAAATTCCCCTGCCTTCAAAGAGCTTTATTTTAGGTAGCTTCAAGTACCATGTGCAAAGACAGAAAGAGGGTAAGAGACAGGAATGCAATAAAGGGTTTGATATAGAGGTCCCTGGGCATCCATGGACACAAATCTTGCTTCAGAAAATCAGTGCGTGAATTGAACTTCTCAATGCATGCAGGGTCACAGCATGAGTTGAACAAGTGGGAATGTGAGTTTTGCTTTGATTTTGGTTTCTGGGTGCTTTCTTGCAGTATCTTGTGCTGCACACACAAAACATGCAGGCTCTGACCATGCTGCAGGCTGGTCTTGCAGGAATGATGCTGATGGGACTACTCTTCACAGAAGCTTCAAACAGATCAGGCTGTTTGGGACTCATGTTGGCTGTGGTTGGAGAAGAAAGCATACAAGTTATTCTGGATAGTTTTGTGCCAGGGTTAAAATCAAGGGGAAAATTAAAAAGACAATGAACATTGGTCCTTTGTTTGCTGTATTACCAATTTTCTTTTGCTATTCCATAAAAGTAATCAGACTTCCATTGATTCCACCTTAGGGATATCCAAGGGGAATTGTATCCCAGAAACTGTCTCCTGAGACATCTAATCATTTCAGTAGGAAGTTCATATGGATAACACGTCTCAATGAATAGTTTTCTTTCTATTTGCCCTCAGTTGTAAGGTTATGGGGAGGAGTAACTCCATCATAAGGTAATATTCTTAAAACCCTCTTTAAAACACCAAACTCTCTTAAGACAACTTGATAAGCTTGGCCTGAAAAAACCAAAATTTAGTTGTCTCTTTTGGCCAGTTTTGCTCAGAATCAAACCTAATTTTCCCCTCCTATAAATTCAAAATCATAAACATTCCTCTTCCTCTCCCCCATTTCGTCTTGTTCATCTAAATAAGGGATGCTTTACAAAACACTCTGTGCCTGTGTATTTACATATAGCTTAACATAATGAGCCACTAATCTTATTTGAGGCCTCCAAGCAGTACTGAAATATAGATTGTTATTAATAACGATAGCACTTACATATTACTGCTGCTGAAATCGCAGTCCTTCCCTCCCTGCTTGCAAATGCTGCAGAAGAATATGTGAGGTGAATTTCAAATGAGTATGGCAGGAGAACGGTATCACCCACAGCAGAAACCCCCTGCTTTACAAAAAAAAAAAAAGAAAAACCTTTGTTTTTCCTTTCCTATGTTGGAAACTTTTTAGAATGGTTTGGGTTAGAAAGGACCAACCCCCTGCCATGGTCAGGGACACCTTCTACTAGAGCAGATTACTTCAAGCCCCTGTGTCCAACCTGGCCTTGAACACTGCCAGGGATGGAAGAGACACAGCTTCTCTGGACACCCTGTGCCAGTGCCTCACCACCCCCATAGGGAAGAATTTCTTCCTTATATCCAACCTAATCTCCTCTGTGTAAGTTTTACCCATTATCACTTGTTCTATCGCTACAGTCCCTGATGAAGAGTCCCTCTCCAACATCCTTGTAGCCCCCTTCAGGTACTGGAAGGCTGCTATGGGGTCAGACAAGGCAAGACTCTACCAAGCCTAATAAATCAGAGAACACCATTGGCATTTCATTATCTTTGCTGCTAAGTGATGGAAAAGATGTTCACAAAGGTCTTTGATCCCAATGGCAGGCCACACATCATGGGCAGCTGAGCTGGGAAAGCTGCTATGACTCCCTTCCCAAAGACGCCCAGCTCTGTTGGCCACAAAGATGCCACTCTTCAGGTGTGCTGTCTTTATAGCAAGTTGGGAATGTTTGTCACACAATGATTTTCCACCTGTAAACATTTAGGGAATGTGCTAAAACAAGTTGATTTTGGTGAAATATCCGACAGGAAAATTGGAGCAACAGGGATTGTTTTGACTTTCTCATTTCAGTTTCATGTTGAAATGTTTTGGTTTAGTAAAGCAGAGAGGCTTTGTTTTGATTTTCTAACTCTGTTTTATTTCACCTTAATTTCATATTACAATCTTTCAATACTGTGTTCACGTATTTGCCTATTCTGGTAACAGTTCCTTTGGCCATCTGAAAATATGCTGAGATGAAAGGAAATGAGTATATCTCATATTTTCTCTGAATAGCATTGATCACTTCACAACATAATGTTTGTACAATCACTGATGGGTTTTCTTTCTATTTCACTAACATTTAATTTTGCCCCAAAGCAGCAGCTTTGCCTACAGAAAGGAATGTTTCTTTACCATCAGAATTACTGTGCTGGACTGACAGTGTCTAATCACATTCATCTGCCAGGACAATTAATTTGCCCACTGCCTGGCCATGGCTGCCCTTTTTCCTGCTGCTGTATAGGGCCTCATTGTACAGCCTGGCCCTTGCATTGAAATCTGGCATCCTTGCTAAGGTACTATTTCTCTACAGTGTCCACAGAAGGCAGCTTTTGACTCCTAGTTCAGTGTGATGCAAAACCATGGCAGCAACCAGGTTAATTTTCACATTAATCCTTGTGAGGGTGCTCAAGCAATGTGAGTATATCTCCAGAGAATTAAGCAGCTTGGTTCTGAACAGCTTCCTCTTGGCATTACTGGATGGTGGCAGTGTATCTCCACCAGCCTTACCCGCAGAGCAATATCTTAGCTTTTGGACCAAACACATCCTAGTAATTACAGAAGATCTGTACAGTCGGTATATTGGGAATAGGACCTTTGCTGAAGGTTTGCCATTGATATCAAACTCCTGAAAGTCAGAAGAGGCAGCCTGAGTCTCCATCTGGAGGTCTAATGAATTACTGAGCTCAAAGCCAGGTCTATGAATAACACTGCATCCAATGCTGTATCCCATGTGAGCACAGCCCTGGGAATCATAGAATGGTTTGGGTTGGAAAGGACCTAAAGATCACCCAGTTCCAACCCCTTGCCATAGGCAGGGACACCTCACACTAGATGTCATCCAAGAATCCCCCTGTCCCAGTGCAACAAACACCCTTCCTATTCTACATAGCCCAAATGGTGCTATGGGGTGTGATTTCAGCATGCTCTGGTACCCCTTTGGTCCCTCCTGTGCTTTCACATTTACAACCATTTCTTCCCACTTAACTCTTCATACAGACCCTGCATGAAAACTCTGCTGTTTTATTCAGGAGCAGTTGTTTCTGGCCACCCATCTGCCAAATAAAACACAATCAGCATAACTTCTGTTTTAATGCTCTGACAAGGTTTTTATTCCTCCAGATTTTGACTAACATATTGGTAATTCTAGATGCTTTCCTTGTTCTGTTCTCACTTTTATTTCCACCTCTGTACTGCTGTTATCTTACTACCAGGTTGCCACAGTAACTGCATTCCTCAACACTCCTTATTTGTTCCACAACAACTGTTATATGGACTGTGTTTGCTCCCACTATTGCCAAGATCTTGGTCTTCTCTTGTTGAGACTCTCGCCCTTATCTCCCCTTTATCAGTGGGTTGGAAGCATTTGGCTGCGCATCATGAAGCAAGAAACAGAGGCACCTCCTCCTCCAAGGCCCCGTATTCACATTTCTCAATGATATATTGCTGTTTTCTGAAGCTGTTGGCTCTTACACACCATTCTCTGCAGGGCATCAAGGCTCCTACATCTCTGTCCATCCTCCAAGGAGCAAGGAGATGCCCTCTTCATCCTGGTGCACATCACCTCTCTCTGCAGGAGTGCTTGGAGTATAAGCTGTAGCAATCTTCCCACCCCAGACACTTTGTCCAGCCTGCGTGAACACCCCCATTAACATCACTGAACACCCCCAAATCCCACTCCACACCAGTGTACCTTTCCTGAATCTGTTAAACGAACTGCAAGCTCTGCAAGAGGATAGCCTTCATTCTACCAGTACCTTATGTTTTGCTGCCCTCTCCTGCTCAGCTAAGAAACCTTTCAAACTGTATCAGGGACTGCAGAGCCCCCCTGAAATCATATAATGGTTAGGTTTGGAAAGGACCTTAAGATCATCTAGTTCCAACCCCCCTGACATGAGCAGGGACAAATGATAGGTTCCCTCCTATATATGATAGGGAAGCAAAGCAGCAGAAGCAGCAAGCAGCTACAGGGTATTAGTGGAGAACAGAATTAACACTTCCCAAGTGCCTGCTCTGGGAAAAAGAAAACAAAACTGTGAAGCAAATACTGTGCAGAAGAAGTAATGAAATAGTTCCACAGCTTGACCCTAGCTGGAGCATTGATGGAGCATTTTCCCATGCCCACGTTTGCTCTTAGAGCAATAAAGACGTTTCTCTCCCCTTTTTGCCCATCTTGCTTTTTTTCCCTCAATTCACAGCAGCTCAGGATGTGGTGGTGGGGAGCAGGATATGGACATACTGTCAGTATAACAGCCACTGTGTTGCAGCCTCCGAGCTCACACTTTGGAGCTCCCAACTGACTCCCCAATATGCTCCTCTCCCTAAGCAACTTCAAGGTTAGTAACTACGACCACTTACAGTAGCAAAGGGCAGTGCTGCCATCCCCTTCACCCAGTCCTTGTGCCTGAGAAGCAGCTAGCTGCAATGTACCTACTTCAGAAGTATCTGAAGGGGGCCTATAAGGATGCTGGGGAGGGACTCTTCATCTGGGACTGTAGTGATAGGACAAGGGGTAATGGGTTAAAACTGAAACAGGGGAAGTTTAGATTGGATATAAGGAAGAAGTTCTTTACTGTGAGGGTGGTGAGGCACTGGAATGGGTTGCTCAGGGAAGCTGTGAATGCTCCATCCCTGGCAGTGTTCAAGGCCAGGTTGGAGAGAGCCTTGGGTGACATGGTTTAGTGTGAGGTGTCCCTGCCCATGGCAGGGGGTTGGAACTGGATGATCTTAAGGTCCTTTCCAACCCTAACTATTCTACGATTCGAAGAGTTATTGCTTGCCAAGGTGAGGTTTAGTCCCCATTTCAGACCTGATGGGAGGGATTTCATAGTGGCGATTTGTTGATTAATGACCTTGCTGAGCTGCAGGACAAAAACCTTAGGGCTGAAATAGAAAACCAGCACCAAGGGCATGAACTGCTCAATCATCAGGAATGGAGCCATTTCCTCCCATTAAAAACTATGAGAGGTAAGAGGAGATGGGGGCTGGTTTTAGCGGATTCACTCACTTTGTCCCTGAAGGGAAGACAAAGAGTTTCCTCTACCTAACCCCTTGCAATCAGGTGCTAGGACACCCATAGTAAAGCAGCCGAGTCATCTTCTCTTCCCTTAGTGCTCTGGATTGAGCACTGCTGTTTTACACGTTACTGAACCCATGGCTTGTTTCAGACACTAAACTACTTTCCCCACCTGAAAACAGATAGGCAAAAATTTATACATTGTAATATGTAATTTACATTCACAATTTCCTTGCATGATTCATATGTTCTCTATGGAGCTATGGTAAAAATGCCAAGCAAGATACCGCTGACAGCAAAGGATAAAATTAAAGTATTTTAGTAAAAAGCATTCTCCTTCAGCACTGTACCGTATTTTGTTTATTTTATTTACTTTAAGCTTTTGGAAAGGCTAACTTGACTAGTCAATGAAAATATCTCCTCACTCTGATAAAGGACCAGCTAAACTGATAACTGGTAACACTGAAAGTGTATATCCAACTTGCATTAAAAAGATCAAGCAAGGAAAGTTTGCTATCCTACATGGAGTATAATTTCTAGCTAACACAGTCATCAAGTGGTGCTTGTTCCACACAAGCAGAGAGGAGAGACTAAAGCCAGGGTGGTACCCTAGATGCTGCACAAAGATGGACATGGACATCAATGTGAAAATAAAGTCATGGAGGCAAACAAACTGAAAGAAGATGACCTTGACAAGTCATCTAATGCAGATAGATGAGTAGATTGAGCTAGAAAGAATGACACCAGCCAATACAGGATGAAAATAAACACGTGGCAAGAGTTGGCTGGAAACTCTCTTCAGAAAAACAAGTGTAGGAATATATTGCAGGAAGAGGGATCTACCCAAAACAGAGATGGAGAGTCATGGGATGAGTGACTTTTACGTTCAGTGCTGGAGCAGTCAGTGTCATGGAGAGGACATCATAGATCCTGCTGCTAGATTGCAGCCAGGGAAAGACTGCTGGCGTCAGGCAGAAAGTGCAATAAATAGCTGGGAAAAACTACTGACAAAATCCAGTTTTGTTCTAAATTCAGTTACCAATATCTGCATTGAAATG